TAGAATTCATACCTGAACTGATAGTGACCATTGTGCCCTTTCCCCAGTAATCAAACGAATGGCCACAATCTAAATAATTATTTACAGCTCAAAACAAAAACCTGTTTGCACATTTCTGTGTGTTTCCATATTATTTTATGATAAGAAAATTATGTGGAATACTACTGCAAATTGAGATTTTGAATTGTTAAAAACAACAACACAGTCTTTAAATTTAAATCTTAACATTAAGGAAAAAAAACTGACTCATTTTCCCTGATCTAACCGTAACCATTGTGCCTTTCCCCCAGGGGTCAAAAGCGTTGTCATACAGGGAGTGCAGAATTATTAGGCAAGTTGTAATTTTGAGGAATAATTTTATTATTGAACAACAACCATGTTCTCAATGAACCCAAAAAACTCATTAATATCAAAGCTTTTGGAAGTATTGTTAGTTTGTTTTTAGTTTTAGCTTTTTTAGGGGGATATCTGTGTGTGCAGGTGACTATTACTGTGCATAATTATTAGGCAACTTAACAAAAAACAAATATATACCCATTTCAATTATTTATTTTTACCAGTGAAACCAATATAACATCTCCACATTCACAAATATACATTTCTGACATTCAAAAACAAAACAAAAACAAACCAGCGACCAATATAGCCACCTTTCTTTGCAAGGACACTCAAAAGCCTGCGATCCATGGATTCTGTCTCATTACAGAGATGCACATCACCTAATATGCTTAATTGGTAGTAGGCTTTCGAGCCTATAGAGCTTGGAGTAAGACAACATGCATGAAGAGGATGATGTGGACAAAATACTCATTTGCCTAATAATTCTGCACTCCCTGTAGTGTAATATTTCAACATATCCAATGTACAAAAATAACTAGCTCCAAGTTCTAAATATGCCCAATTATACAGTGAAAGTTCACTTCAATTCACTGACAGACTGTCTTCAGTTTTTCTTGAGCCTTGTGTTGACCTTGTTGCCACCTTCTTAGACTCATGATGCACCTTCATGTCTAATTCTGTCTCAGATTGGTGTCCTGGGGTGCCTGATGTGCTCACTGGATCACGGATTTAAAGTGAGAACAAAGTTAGCTAGGTAGTTAGCTTTCAGCAAGCCAAAATATATGTCAAAGATATACATAAAAAGTAATAATTTTAAAACCAAACCAGTTAATATTTTGTTTAATATTTTGTTTTCTCCTGGCATTTTTTCTATTCAAGGTTGAAATGTTATTTCTAGAAAATAAAAGTTCAGCTAAAGGATTATTAATGCTTTTCATCACCACAACAATCTGGCATTTTTCTTTTTCTTTTTCATTTTAATTTTTTTTTAATTTTCTTTTTTGGTCTGCGGGTCAAGTCTGTGCCCTCCAGCAATAACTTTTAACTATTATTTATAATTTTCCCAAATAAAAGGATCTGGCTTGCATTAGTCACATGATGACCATTAGCCAATGCTCACCCTTGACAGCAGAGCGTTCTTGTTACAAGCTCGCAATGAGCACATGCATGTTTTTTTGCTGCCTGGACGGTGTGGAGCTGTAGGGGAAACACACAAATTAACATGGAGACGCAGATGCAACCAAATCCAGTAGGAAGGGTGTACAGCATATATACCCTATAGCTCACAGGAGTATTAGTTTATTATGTACACAAGGCAACAGCCATTAAGATACCATAATAGAAATACAATATATCAGACATTTTCACTTAGAACTGATTAAAGTGAATACAATAGAAAAGACATTTCAAGTGCCCAAATCATTCCCTGCAAAATTTTTTTAGAGGCAGTTTGCCCATCAGCCTCCTCCAATATAAGTTTACTCTTCTGTTAGTCGACACATACATCAGAACATTATTTTAAATGAGGAACATGAACAAAAGTCATTGCATGTAAACAATAGTGTAAAGTTGTTGAATGTCCTTTCACAGAGTTGAGGGCAAATTCTTACAAAAACACAATACATTTCATCCAACTTAAGTAGTGATCTCTGAAATGAAATTGTATTCTTACCTGATGAAACAGCAACTGCTGTCTCCTTTCCTTCTCAAAGGTAATGCCATCTAAGGTAAGTATCTGATTAGACATGATGTTTCTAAGATTTTTATGTCAGCAGGTCTTCAAAAGATTTTTGTGGTTTAACTAGTTCACCTGTGTCATCTTACTTCATAGATGAATAGAGCTGGGTATCATCTGCATAACAATAAAAATGTTTGCGCTCTTTTCTAATAATATTAACTTAATAAAGTTTAGGAAAGCATAATAATGTGTGCATGATGTGAAAAATTATTGAATCATTGCACAGACCTGGAGGAAATCCATGAAAAACTTTTGTGTCTGAGAAAGACTCCTCATTATCATGCTAAAACTGGAATCTATCAGATAGGTATGATTCAAATCACAGCAGCAGAGTGCCTTTAATACTTACATTGTGTTCTAATTTCTGGAGTAAAATATTGTGGTCAGTGTTATGGACTGCTGCACAAAAGTCTAGCAGGACAAGCATAAAGATGAGTCCACAGTCAGAGCATATAAGAAGATCATTCATAATTTGCTGTTGCGATGAATTCTGAATCCTGACTTAAACTTTTCAAATAAATCCTGATGATTAGTTTTCTGTTTTACAACTACTCTTTCAAGATTTTCTTCTTCTTCTTCTTCTTTTTTTTTTTTTTTACATAAAAGGAAGGTTGGAGATTGGCCTGTAATTAGATAAGACAGTTGAATCAAGTAAGAGCTTTTTAAGTAATGGTTTAGTTACCACCACTTTAAAAGCCTGTGGTATCTACTCTTTTAATACAGACAGATTATTCCCATTTAAACATTATTAATCATCAATTTATTTGAGCAGTCTTGTAGGAATGGAGTCTAAATGGCATAATCATGGTTTCGAGGTAGAAATGATTGAAGTTAACTCAGAATGATTAATACGAGAGAAATAGTCTAAACTTCAGAAGTCATTAAAGAAAACATGAAACACTACAACTATAAAAGCTAATTAATTCACACCAGGGAGCCCTGCTGTCAAAAAACGGACATAGATTTAACACTGTCTGTGAAGCTCAAGTTAAGAGATAAGTGTTAAAAGTTTTTAGAACATATTTAGCGCCATCTTGTGTCAGTGTAGAACATTACATCACTGTGTTGGTCGGTTGCTGGTTATAGACTTACATTAGTTTATGTTAGCTAACTCATAATATAACAAATAACTATTAAATAGAAAAGGAGACTAAAACTAAAAATCTGTTTTTGTTCTTCATATTTGGATGAACACTCATTCAAGAAATTCATGAAATCCTTGCAAGTTAAAGTTAAAGACATATGTGACCTGGAACTTTGACTCTTTGTCAGCGTGACTACAGCGGTCAAGATAAACCTGTTGTTGTTTCTGTTTTCTATGACCAGTGTTTAATAGTGCTAGCTTTTAGGAAGGCATTTTTTAAATTCTTTTTTTAGACTAAAAAGGTATTTTCTCCCTTTTGGACACTGGGACCTTCACACATGTTACTACGATTTGATAATAACTGTGACTTAAACAGATACCTGGAAACTCTCAGCAATTAGTAATTTGTTCCTACATGACCTTAAAAAACTGAAATGCAAAAATCAGAAGCAGACTTGATTATGAGGCAAAGCCATGTTGAATATCAGTTTGAAGTGGAAAATGTCCTGTGATATGATTTTTATTTCATTTATTTATTTATTGTGTTTCTAAACCCCAATCATCCGTACTAACCACTTTTCTGTGCAGACAATGGGACTCATTGTGATGTCTTATTTTGCAGTATATTTTTTCCCATGTCATAATTACTACATCCACTAGAGTGCAGTGGTACACTGTTGTTAGACCCTCATTTCTGCTTCCTCCAGTAAATGATCCAGTCATGTTTTAATGGGAGAAAGGTCCCTGGCATGATGCAGTTTTCATGGTTGGATTGTGTTTGCCTCTGAATTCATAATTTTTGTCACTGTGATGTTTTGAGGTATGAAATTACTTTATTTACTGTAGTTCATCATTTGTTTTCATAAGAGAAAACACTCAGTGGGATTTCTTGAATAAAGACAAAGCTGTAGCATCAATAACAAGGGCAGATAAAATACTGAGACACAGAGACTTCAGGATAAAGGGAAGTGGTTTGGGTAATATTGGGGGTACATTCCCTCACAGCGTCTGCAAATTGGCGCTTTAAGAATCCATCCTACAATCCAATTTAATATATACATGTATACATTGTACTGGTGGATTATTAGCTCACGTAGGATGTTTGGTTTAAATTCATCATTGGTATGTAAGGAAACAGGGAAGGGTTCAGGTAAGCACCTGGGGGGAGGGTGTTTGGTGGGGGTGTCAGACATGGAGACACTGTCAGGCATTCTGCTGGGCATGGTGCCCTGCTTCCTTGCTGCTGGGCCCTTGCCACTTAGACTGGCAGCAGCATGTTGTTCATTAGCAACAGCTTCAAAGATTAGGGCTGGCTGCCACAGGGTCTTCAGCCAATTGGGGCAACACACTGCCAGATCATTTCAGAGGCAGCCAATAGTAAGGCTTAATTTGTTTTGTGTCATCCCTCCCAAATGTGAATTCCTCCAAACCCACAAGGTACACAAATGCACATGGAAACACACTCTAAGCTTTTACTTAAAGACAGAGTTCACAGATTTACACTGACTCTGTGTATGTCTGGAAAGAGGAAGAGTTACATAAACATTCTTTGTGGTTGGAAATGAATGCACCTCTTCATAGCACAACTGCCTTCCCATGCCTTTCTGTCAGTATTTTTAAATTATGATCAGCATAGGTTTTCACATAGAGGCTGCACCCACATTGCTGCTACTGCACATGGAGCTTTGTCTCACTCTTGTGGAAAATCAAAGTAATACAACATGATGGTGCACAACACAATTTTTCAAAAGATAAACAGTTTTATATTAGTATGTGTCATTACTTGTATTCTGTAAGGCAAGTTAGCATTTTTCTTAATTCAAGAAGAACTGAAGATAGTTAGTTATTTGTTTTCTTTATTGATTTTTAATGCATTTTCTCACTTGTCTTACATACATGTCGCATCTAGCACAAAACTAAAACACAAATGCCAAAAATTGTAAAGCATAAACAATGTCATCAATAACAATGGAAAAACAAAGCATTACATGTTCAAACTAGTCAGGACAGGTGCTGTTCAACCCCCCAGAACTTAGACATTTCAGTCATAATACATGAACCGTCCTGTGAACATCATGGTTTAGTCTGAAAGAAAAAATGAGAGAGAAAATGTAATCCTTTAGTGACAACTTTGTATTGTTTTCTCTTGAAATAAAAAGTGTATTAAAGTGTAATAGAAACAACAACATTTTATTATTGTTATAATATACATTTATATATTTGTCATATTTGAAAGTTCAACTAAGCACCCAATGGAATGTCATAATACAGACTTAGAAGCTGAGAAAGAAAGTAACTGGACTCCTTTAGGTTTTGTGAAGATGTTTCACCTCTCCTTCAAATGACTTCTTGAGTTCTTAAACTAGATGGTGGGGAGTTCCAGGTCCTTAAACACTAGTGAGTGTTGTCTCTTAAAGGGGTCATTGACTGATATTAGCCATGTGCTTCATCATTTGATCCAATGAATGAAAAAAGTAATTATCACCATAGCTTTTTGATAAACCACTGTGAGACCTCACCCAGTCATATGACCTATTGAGGTCACCTGAGGGAAGATGTGAGTGGGGGTTTAGGCACTTGGTGTGATCCCAACACTGCCAAGAGTGATCTTTATCCTTTAGGTGTTGATTTAAAGCTAACTCTTGCAATGCTGGTAAAGGACAACCTGTGCTAAGGTTTAAATACCGGGGACTCTCCATCGTTTGGTTTTAGAACTGAAAAAACGTCTTGGATGACAGGCGAAACCTCTTCATATAACTTAAAAAAAGTCAAGCTGCTTTCTTTCCAATCTCCTTAGACTATCATGACATGGATGACTGGAAGCCTACATAGACATAATACAGACTGGAATGTCAGATTAGAATGGTGTGTCACAATATAAATCATCACAACATCATACTGTAATGACAGTGCATGTACATATTTTTATGCTCCCTGTCTCCCTTGTACAGATAATAATAACAATAATTATAATAATCTTCATGGTTCAAATGAGAAGCTAGACGTGAATCTTACTTTTAAACAATCAAATGACAAGTGCTTACCTTAAATAATGTAACTATGATACCATATATGGTGGCGATGATGAAAAAACCAGTGAGGGTGAAAGCCACATTCCAGCTTTCCTCAGCTGTGTCTTCATTCACATCAGCATGCACAATGTTGTCAAATAAATTACAATATTTCATCGTATCTGTGAATAATGTATACATTTGGTTATTTATCACTTACTTGACATTATTATACTAACAAAGAAGCTGAAAAGAGATTGGAAAAATAATGGACTTTACATGTCCTTCACATTACTTAATAGGACCTTATATGTGCAAGAAAAAAAATCAATCAGTGAATGATGCAGTACCTGGTTTCGATATATTCCGGGACAGGGTGGTGTTGGCATGGATCACCCGGCAGGTGAAGACCACCCCAGGTAAGAATATTTCTTGGGACAGGTAAAGGTGGCTCTTGACACTGAACTTTCCATCTGGGCCTCTGTGGGGCTCACTAGTGTTGTAGTTCAGCGGTTCTGTGCCTCCATTTTGAAACCAAGTGATGTTAATGGATACAGGGCTGAAGCCAAAGACCAGGCACACAAGTTCATTAGAGCCCTGAAACAAGTAGACTGATGGCTGGCTGTAGATCACTGAGGCTGGAAAGATGTGCATTACCGTTTTAGTAATCAGTCAATCAATTTTAATCAGTTTGTTAAAATGAATATAATGGAAATAATAGGTAAATATTAAATGCTAAATGGCAGCTCACCAAACACATCAGTTATATTGTCTTTAACAGGCGCTTCAGATGACTCATGTGTGACAACACAGGAATACGTAGACCTTTTGGCTTCAGTTTTGGATATGTTTAGCCAGCTGCTCATAGAGTAAGAGCTGCTCCCTGAGTATTTCCATGGAGGACTGTTTACGTAATGTGAGGGTGGGAGAGTCTGGCCATCTTCTTCCCAGTGCACTATGATGTTAGCAGGGAAATATTCAGACACTAGGCAAACAAGCGTTAGGTTGTCAGACTTAGAAAGTTCAGAGGCAGTTGGTTGTATTATCTTCACTGTTGGCTCAAGGAAGACTTGAAAAACACAAAAGGAAGAGAACCATAAAAATACAGTCACAACCAGAGGAACATGAAGTTTAGAAAGATTTGTTACATTTCTAATATTACCTTTGCTTTTGCTTATATGGTCTTCATTCCCATGATTGGAACATGGACGTTTTCCTTCACAAGAAATGTTTGTATGTGCATCCCAATCCACTGCTGACATATTAAGGAAGCTCTGTCGAGTCTCTGTTCCATTGTTATGACTCACTGGGGGATTAGTTAGGACATCATAACTCTCGGGAATATTGCTGCCACCTACTCTCCAGGTGATGGCGAAATCATTAAGATTAGGGCCGACCAGAAGACAGGTAATAGTCACATATCCTTTGTTCTCAGTCAGCTGTGGCGGTGGTCCCTGGACATAAACCTCAACTAGCTGTGATGATGATGGAGTTTCTATAAAAAATAAAATTAATTTAAAAAATGAATATATAAATAAATAAAAATAATATGCAACAACCATGGAGCAGTTATAAAATGTCTCATATCCAAATTTCTAATTTAAAAATAGTTTTATTGCATTCTTAATGATTATCACAATAAGAGAATTTTCACTGTACCTGAACAGAGATTGATTGTTTTTGTGATATGTGAGTTCAGAGACCTGTCAGACACTTCACAGGTGAAATTATTCCCTTTTTTCCACTCAGATTGATCAATTACAAGTTGACTCGTTACTCTAACACGTCCATCTACACTCATGCTGATATTAGTGGAATTTGGAGACCTTTCCTGAGACTCAGACAACCATTTAATGTGAGGGTTGAAGCTCCATCCAGAGCATGAAAGAGTCTGTGATTCTGAACCTTTACTGGGAACCAGAAGAAGCTCCATGGATGGGTCCACTAAAGGGGCATAAATCAATGCATCTATTAGTCTATTTAATAGAAACCATGTAACTATAAAACAACAAAGATAAATCAGCTTCTACAAAGGGAAAAAAAGGGAAATCTCCTCACCAAAAATATTGCTGATGGAGTTTGAGTGAAAGGTTTTAGAAGAGCCTTGAATCACTTTGCAGGTAAAGGTTTGGTCTGTCTTCCAGTACTTCTGAGGGACAATGAATTGACTACTGATTGAAAGTTTGGCTACTGAGCCTTCAGCAAAATTATAATGTTTTTTTTCAAGAATTTCACCACGATTGACTTCTAAGGCGATGAAGAGGTCACATGAGGACAGTTGTTTGATGTCACACTCGAACACTGCACTGTCTCTCTTCGGCAGATCTGTGAGAGATCGCCTGATCTCCACCAAAGGAGTATTAACTGGACAACCTGGATGATCATGCAAAAACATTATTTTAATTGCTCTTTGGTCATAACATGTCTGATTTTCCTATTGTCGTATCATCTTACCTGCAATATTTATGGTCTTCTCAGCAGATGTGAAGCACTTATGCTCTGCTTTGCATGTTACATACTTCATGTTCTCCCATTGAGTCGAGGAAACTGAAAGATTGCTGATTATATGAGTTGCGTTTTTCTCTCGGGTCGCTGTTTTAGTCACGGCTTTGCCATCAATCAGCCAGGTGATCGTGGCATCAAAATAAGTGTGGACCAAACACGTTGCTTGCATGTCAGTATTTGAGGTAATTACAGTCTTGAAGCTGGGAATCTCCACTTGAATGAAGGGAGAGGACCTTGGAAGAGCTGTTAATAGGAAAGTAAAAAACAAACAAACAAACAGAGTCTGACATTGTTACAATAAAGGTGAATTTCTGTGGATTATAAGAAAAATTGCTTATTAATATGGCAAGCTAATAAAACAAACTTTTAACTAAAGACTGATCTTAATTTGTTTCACATACTAAGAATTTGTGCATGATAAATGTGTTCTTTGAGTCAGTAACTCTACATACTTACTGTGACAAATGTTTATTGTTCTGTTATATTGATCACCATTGGTCTTGCAGGTAAAAGTTGAGCCTTTTGCCCACAATGTCATATTTGGCCTAAGCTCACTGCTCAGGCTGAAGGTTGTCTTTTCTCCCCCTGCACTTTGTAGCTTCCTTGTGCTTGCCTCATTGATTTGACCCTGTTGGTCATCCAGGATCCACCCCAAACTCAGGTTGTCTGGATAGAAGCCACTCAATGTGCAGATGAGCCTTACTGTTGAGATTCCAACTTCCCCATCCCAGACTGAGTACAATGTGATGTTTGCTGAGACAATCCGAGGCACTGAGAAAGAGCAAATATTAGTTTGACTTTACATGCATAATTATAAATTCTATGTGTTAACGCAGCAAGAAAAAAAAGTTAATGTCATCTCAGTTATACATACCTTCAGATTTTGGTAAATGAGGAACTGTTTCAGTTTTAAGTGTAGTGTGTTTGTCTTTAGGCTAGATGGCAGAGTTATAATTTGACATTGTTTGGTGTTACTGTGTCAGGTGAAGATAGGGCAGGAAGTCTGTTGCACAGTTGTTATGCATGATAGGGCAGAGTGGTCAGGGCAAGCAGCAAGCAGAAGCATTGAGTAACACCCAGGTCTCAAAAAAGTACCAAAATACAGAAGTGAGAGAATGCAAAGAGCAACGGAGCATCACAAACAGCAGGTGTGAGGTGTGGTTATGCCAGTAAGAGAAACAATTTGCACATTTACATTTCTCATGTCAGTTTGCATGTGTACCACATGTATTTTATTTCACATCTCATGACTTTGCCAAAGGTTTTAGTTCTCAAATCCTCTAATAATAGAGTAAAACGCAACCGACTGTAAAATCTACCACTTTGCATATTTGGTATAGCATGGGCTGCTGATTCCAGATGCTGTGGATGTGATGAACAGAACTGTATATTAGAGTTTAAAAAAAGGACAAAATATTAAATACATATAAATAATCTTTAAAATGCATTAAACTTTTACAGATCAACCTTCAAATAATGTAAACAATTTCAAAATAAAGCAAGAGAAAGACAAAATTTAATCTTAATTAAAACATTTATTTTTAAAGACAGATAAAGCTTTTGCAGTTTAAAAAAGGCAGTTGTGATTACTTACATGATAGTATGAGATTATATGAAAAAAAAATGTTTGAGAAATATTTTTTTCACCACACTCAAAGGTCCTTTCACAGTCCATTTGTTTTATTTGACCTGTTAAAAGAATAAAAAAATAGTGAACTTGGAGCAAAAGGATTTATTTCATACTGCTCACCACTACTTCATTATAAATAGTGTTTATGCATGAAGTTACGTTGCTACACATATATCAAAAAATGTATCAATACACAGGAAACTTATAATGCTGTGCGTTTCTTTTGTAGTTGGTTAAATATAGTTGCTGAATAAACTTAGAAGGAACACTACTTTAATATCAGCTGAAATTCACTTAGGAGGTCAAACTAACAGTTGCAGACAAAGCTGCTTATAAGAGATTGTTACACAGTATTAAGACAATTTCTAAATTAATTTACTTTCAATAATACGCATTCAATAGATTAAGGCATTCAGAAACTTGCCATCTGGACATAAAGCACTGGGATATACATGCTACACTGGGATATAAAGAAAAATGAATTCAAATAGTAACATTATGTAGTGTAATTATCTTTTAACTTACACATATAAAATTGGTTTAAATCAGCGATATGAACATATTTTTATTTTTGCCATTGGCATAGATTATTCCACACAATATCACACAATTTAATGAGTTTGATAATCACTTTTGTCACCATATCTTAATTATTGTAATCAACCACACATGCCACACTGATTTTGAAAGAGCTTCATTTTGATCTGACACGATTTTGTCTTTATGGTCTTCCAACATGCAGTGTAATAGAAATTACACTTGCTGCTTCTGACTTAAAACCCTTGTCTTTGTCCATACAGCTAGATCTTTGAGTAGGGCGATATCAGTATGATATCAGTTGGCCCTTGAACATTCAACTATTAAATTATGTTTTTATACAATTTCAGCACTCTAAGTGAATTTTAGCTGATTAATATTGTTTATATGATATTAGCAATAACTGTATAAAGATAATTAAATTCACAACAACAGCTGAATTGTGAAGTAGGTAATCCCTCACTGGGATAACGTGAACCTTTTTCTTCCTTTTTTAATTGTATTAACTAAATATTACATTGGTTTATTAAACTGACATAATCCTAAATGCTTCGAATGTGCATAGATACAATTTTTTCTGTAATCTGCATTTTTTTTGTTGTTTTTACAATAATTGAGTTATTCTGACTCATGGTTAAAATGCAGAATGCTAAATGAGTTTTAGTTTTTTCTATCATGGCTACGTGCTTGATGAATGTAATCTGTCATATTGCTCATTGCTGAGTTAAATCTACACACAATGTCAGCACATTAATTTCTGATTACCTTGATAACAGTTGTTCCAAAGATTAACAGCAGAGTGATGAGGAAGAGAAGGATGAAGACGATGGCTACGCTTGCTATGTTATCGTCTCCAGATAGTCCAGGGTGATCAAGCTCCAGATAGTCACCGATGAGAAGACCTAGATGAACAAACGTTATTGTGTCAAATAACTGGACATTTCACAACCCACTTTGAAACACACATTGTACGATGGGAACTTATAGATTTTATTTATTTCTGTTGTGGGTTAAATACATATGTTTTGACTCTATATGCTATAGCAGATTCATAGTCAGTCAACTCAGCTGGAAGTTATAATGACAGAAAAGAAAAAAAAATAAGCTGACAGATGTCGAGTGAGTGTCCCATGAAGATGAATAGAATTTCATGCCCTTTCAGACCTACAATCCTGACTTCTGACTTGCTTTAGAAAGACTCCAGTATTGTTTATTTGCCTGGGAGATTTAAAGGGTTGTATTGAGCAGTCATCTGTTTTTAAGGGGTGCAAGACTCAGTAGATGACACACAGGCACACAAAGACAAGTCACAGAAGCAGTGTTACTGAACTATCTGCATATTAAATAAACATAGACTGTTCCCTAAATACCTCATTTAGTACTGTTGTATTATTCTAGTAGAAATTAGATATTACATTTTTTTTATATTATTATTTTGTATTATTTTATAATTATTGTGTAAATAACCCAAACATGCTACTGTCTACATTAGGATAGCACTGTGACTGTACAATAAACATAAAGCTCAAAATATGATTTAAATGAAGACATGAACTGCATACAATAAACATCAACAGAGTTGCAAACTGTTTTTTTTTTTATTTTGAATCTGCATTGAAACACACAAACACAATGTCATATCACAAGCAACAGACATTAAACAACAAACAGCAGACGACAGAGACATGAGAAACATCTACTGGGCCGAGCACTTTGAGTCTTGGTTGATGTTCATGTTGAGGTCAATGCGGTTTTTGTCAAATGTTCTGTACCCAATGGACCTGACAATAGCTCTAGTTGTGTTAACCACAGATTCGTGGTACACTACACAGCTATAGACAGCTTCATTGTTTTTCCACTCGTGAAGGTTGACAAACAACTGGCCATACGCAGAATAGAATCCATTGTTTTCAATGGGTTCTGTGGTATTAAAAGCATAACTTGAGTCTGCTTCCTCGTCATCCACAAGCCAAGACACAAAAACTTCCTTAGGGAGGAAGTCTTTCACAAAGCAAGTCAGGGTCACCTCTGCTTTGTTAGTTTGTTCTAAAGGAGGGAGCATAAACACTGACGGACGCTGAGGGCTTCCTCCTGTAAGCATGAAACAACATGAGACTTTGTACCACACATACATTAACCAAAATAATACAGGAAGTCAAATCCACACACACACACACACACACACACAGGCATACACACACACATACAGACTGAAAAGCAACAGTTATGATGTCTTTGATATCAAGATGTCAATAAGGACTAAACACTGTTTCAGAGTATTTTTCTTACCGAATTCCCTTTCATAAGGTTCCCTCGAAGGTGTGAGTAAATCTGAGTGGTGAACAACACAATAGCGCTTTACCCCCCTGCTCCATTCGTCATAGGTGATGTCAAGTTTAGACAAGTATGTCATCCCATTTTCTTTAATCATTGGTTTACTTGCTATCTCCTCTTTATTCTCATCCTCCCACATTATTTGAGGTTTATCTTTTTGTACTGTGACTCGACATGTTAGAGTTCCTTTTTTATGTAAAAGCATGTCCTCAGTTGCGGGGCCAGTGATTTCTACTTTCACATTAGATGTAACACAATCAGGACCTGAGTAATGAAGCAAAAAACAGTTAGTGAGCAAAATTATTACAGAACCATATTTAAAAAAATAAATGTATATTTTTTTAAAAGAAAACAAATCTGTTACTCACACTGTGGTTTTACTTTGTAAGGCACAGTTTTATTCAAAGATCCATCTTCTCCTCCAGTAAACAGACATGTAAATGTAGTCTTATCATTCAGGTCACTGGAATTTACTGTGAGAAAACTTGTTGCAGAGTACAGTATTTTTCCAGCTGCATTTTTTGAGTCACAAACTGTTTCGGTCAGATCTATTTGGCTGGTGATATCTGCTCCGTTTTTCAGCCATTTTATGCCATGTTTCTTTGGTGCAAACTCTTTGGCAAAGCAGGAGGCAGTATAGGTACCGTCCTCATCAGGAGAGGAGGAAAACACTTTAAGAGTTGGATTCTGCTTAAACACCGCTGAAAAACAAAGATATACACAAATATGTGTATGCAGAAGCAGGGAATAATATATATATATACGTATTTATATATATGCAGAAGCTGAGATAAATAATTTGCTACACTGTTCATACTATATTGTTTTTCTATATAAACAAGTTAGTTATGCTAACTTTTTTTTTAGCACTTTCACTTTGCACAGTGTCCAAAAGAAAACTGGATTTGTGTAGTCACCAATAACTGAACTGCAGAGCTTCACTGCTCACTTCTGCATATACATTGACTGGCAAGCAAACACAGATTTAATATTAATGTTAATTATGTTAATTATCAATGCACAGTGAAAGTGGAGGGAGACAGGCAGAGATCAGAAAGGATGAGGATTATTTAGACAGATGGAAAGAAGCACAACATGCTGCAATACTGTTTTTCAGACGGGCGCAGAGCACATGAGTATATGAGTGAAGAATTAAAAAAAGACAATGTACCAAAACTTAATACTGCTTGGATATATTCTTTTTCTCATTCCACCTTACAATGTGTGTGTGTGTGTGTGTGTGTGTGTGTGTGTGTGTGTGTGTGTGTGTGTGTGTGTGTGTTTCCACAAAGTCCATTAAGAAATTATGAATTTTGAAATATTTCATGTTATTTAATGAGGTGAAATATTTGCTTCTATGTTGATTATGATTTTTTTTTAAAAATGAATAAGTTCCCGTTTTTGTTGTAAGTTGTGTGTTCAGATTAATTGTAAACATAAGCAGCTTGGGGCGCATTTACGATAAAGTCAGCCTCTACTATATTTCTTCAGTAAACAAAAACTGGAGATTAACTCGATAACTGACTCTTATCCTTATTAGAAGTAACAATCACTAGATGTGGCCCAGTAATAGTTTATAAGAAATATTGCCTCAGAAAATGTGCACTGAAGTTTACTGTAGCAATGTATTATGTATGTGATGTATCAAGAGTTCAAATAACCTAAGAAAAGGAAATTAAATGACTTAACAAAAATCTTACAGACTATAACAATATCAGCCTGTGCATTTATGTGCAAATTCATTCAAATTGTTTAGTTTTGTATATATTCACAGAGCTTTCATGTAAACTTGTTATAAGTCAAATAGAATAAGATAAACTGATTAAATGTGAATTAGCATAAGGCTTACGTGTAGGTATGACAGGAGTCTGTGCATTCCCAGCAGCATGATTCACAACACATTGGAAATTCTGTTGTGTATCCCAGTCCTGTTTCCTCACTCGGACTTGACTGACTCCAGTATAAACATCGCCTTTCTGTACTGCAGGGTACTGGATGAAGTCTGTCAAGGCAGTGCTGCCTTTGTTCCACGAGAAAGTCACTGCAGGAGGGTTAAAACCGGTGGCAAGGCAGCCAAGAGTGATCATATCTCCGCTCTCAGTGCCACATGGTACCAGAGGAAACACAGTGGGTGGACTTGAAGTGGCTAAGAAAGGGGAGACAACAGTAATTAAGATACCAGAATAGAAATACAATAATATACCACACGTTTTCACTTAGAATTGTTTAAAGAAAAAACGAGATGATTGTGATGTATAATAAAGTCCATTGTGAAAGACCTTACATTTTAAATGTTTAGCATTTCAAATGCCCCGAATCCTATTTTGTTAAATACTCTCCATTAGTGTTATATAACAATATTATATATTAATAAGTGTCACTTCTTTAGTAGTCTACACCACACCTTTTTGTAAATTATTTTAAATGCATAATATGGACAAAAATCAATCACAAGAAAACAGAAATAAAATAAAAGAATAACATAAAGTCGGTAAACTTCCTTTCACAGTGCTGATGGCAAATTATTTTAAGAACACATTAAATTTGATTCCACTTTAGCATTGATGTTTGAGATGAAATGGTTTACTTACCTGATGAAACAGTGACTGTTGTCCCCTTTCCCCAATAGTCAAAAGCACCGTAGCACAGTACTGAATATACTTAGTTCTTAGTATAAAAAGGCTAAACTATTAATGATACACAAAAGGTCTACTTCAACAGTCATTAAGAAGAAGATTATAAAATCCTATCAAATCACCCAAAATACGCTATCTGTTAAAGCCAATTTTGACAATATCACATTTTTTTTTAGCAAATGTATATGAACACAATTCACTGAGAAAATATTACGTTAAATTATAACTTGTATCCAATGGAGACATATCTTAATTGATGATGCTGTAACTGGAGAGCCATTTTCTAAGTCTAAAAACCATTTGAAATACTTAATAGATAGTTTTCATACTTCACACAAAACATTTGATACTCTTACTTAAGGATTTTTATTACTCACAATTGGTCTGAAATTCTTTTTTTTACATATTCTGTAACAAACTACAAAATTTTTTTGATGTAAGTACTTATTTTATCAAATTTATCATTATAGTTGTAAACAAATGAAAATGAATACATTGTATTGTAACGGGGGATCAGGAATTTCTCTCTTTAGCAAGAAATATAACAATTCGTACCTGATGTGACGGTGACTGTCGTGCCTTTTCCCCAGTAGTCAAAAGCGTAGTCACAGTTTAACAACTTACTGACAACTGCATACAAAAACCTCACACTCCATCTTATAACAATCTACAATCTGATATATTTTCCTTATAGTTAATATAAAGAGATTCAAAAGACTGTACAAAACCTGATTTTCACCACCATTTAAACCAAGTCTGTAAACTATAAGACATTTGTCTCTCAGTCTACAAATGACGGTATTGAATTTTCTCACAACCACAACATTTCTTTAAAAAAAATCAAAATTTAAATGAAAATCTTAAAATTAAACTGAAAGAATTAGATCACCTTACCTGATGTTACTGTAACCATTGTACCTTTCCCCCAGTAGTCAAAAGCCCAGTTATCACAGTTAACAGAGTCTTTTTACACCTCTCACAAAAACTAACTTCTGTGATATGGCATTACTTGGTGACATAATTTAACTTTGGAAATAATTTGAATCACTCTCAACTAAATAACTGCTTATATAATTATTTTCTAATCAAATTAAAGAGAAAGAAATACAAGGTTCTTTCTTTTTGTGCCAATTCTTTGTCAGATTTTATATAATTAAGAAGGAAAAACAAGTTAGTTATAAGAATAATGTTAAAATTCATACCTGAACCGACAGTGACCATTGTGCCGTTTCCCCAGTAGTCAAAAGAATGGCAACAATCTAAATAATTATTTACCACTCAATACAAAAACCTGTTCACATTTTTCTGCGTTTTTCCATATTATTTTACGATAACCAAAAAATCTGGAATACTCTCATTTTTTGCAAATTGAGATTCTGAATTCTTAAAAATAATACCATCAAAGATTAAACTGAGAGTACAAATTATAGGCTTGTAATACTATAGAAATTAGTTTGAAAAACATTTTTTCTTTGAAAGAACAACAACACAGTCTTTAAATTTAAATCTTAACATTATGAGAAAGAAATGAATCATTTTACCTGATGTAACCGTGACCATTGTGCCTTTCCCCCAGTAGTCAAAAGCGTGGTCACAGTGTAAAATTTCATCATATCCGACATACAAAAACAACCACCTACAAGTTCTAAATATGCCAAATTAACAGTGAAAGTTTTGTATTTTTAGTATTAGAATTAAGTCAGAAAGCTCATCTTACCTGTTGTGACAGTGACCATTGTGCCTTTTCCCCAGTAGTCAAAAGCATTGTCACAGTATAAGACATTAACACATTGAACATACAAAAACAAGCACCTTAAAGACTCTCATGGTCCCACTAATGTCGAAAAACCAACCAAACAAAAAAACCCAAAAATGCCTCTAAAAGAACCACATTTATAATATGAAGACAAAAGCCTTTTTTACCTGTTGTGACAGTGACCGTGGTTCCTTTTCCCCAGTAATCAAAAGCAGCGTTCACAGTATAATAACTCAACATATCCAACATACAAAAACATGTGCCTCTAAAACCCTAAATACAACGATTTAAAAAGTGTTATTAAATTTTTCATAGAACGGAAAAAATACATATATTTTTTACCTGTTGTGACAGTCACAGTTGTTCCTTTTCCCCAGTAGTCAAAGTAGTCATCACAGTGACAGATTTCAATTGCACTTTAGTGCAAAAAATATTTTGCCAGCTACTTGTGTCATTTCAAAGGTGATTACACTAAACCGAGAAACTATTACCTATCATTTACACAGATATTACACTATAACATTAGATGCAAAATATAACCAAGATTTTATTTAATACTCTAAATAATCAGCTAAATATAGGATTTCACTAACTCAAACTACATGATATGATCACTTACCAGAAGTTACTGTGACTTGTGTTCCTTTCCCCCAGTAGTCAAAGTAGCCATAGCTGTCACAGTGATCTGTTAGAGTCTGTTTCCAATACACATACTTATTTAATTTAAACCAAAGGAATCAGGTTTCACAGACAAACCAATTCCCAGTGTACTCTTTATTAGCAGTTTCCGTTGAGACATCCATTTCCTGTGGTCTAGGTTATATAAAATTAGGTATCCTGCCAACAGTTTGTAAACACTTCCTCTTTATCAGACCCTTTGGCAGCTCCTGCTTTTACAGCAACCAACCAGCACAAAGTCAGAAGGAGTTAATGTTACTGATAGAGCTTTGTTGGCCTAAAGGCCTTGTATATATGTTAATACTGAACAGTCAGTGCTTGTTTTTGGTTCAACTCAAACATGATTGATGTAGGTAAACATTCTCCACTGCAATAGTGAAGAAATTTGAATAACAGAATTTAGCTTTCAATGTTGAGTTAGGTGATTGTTTTTTTATTTACTGTTTCATAGCAGAAATGGCAAATAAGTTTGCCTCAAGGTGTCATCAAAATAAAGAACTATGTGTCTTGAAGAAGTTCGAAGAAACTTGTGGGCACCCTGGACAGGTGTTGATGAGATGTCCATGTTGCCCACAGTAAAACCACTCACTCCTTCTTTCCTCTGAAGTCAGCTCGGTCCTGCTGATCTGCATCGGCTACAACTCCAGTTTGCTCTCATCACTTCCTGTTTCCTCTTTTGCCCCCCTGAAGTTTTGCACCTGAAGTGGAGTGAGAGTTTAGTTTTAGTTGACAAGAGAGTCAAGTAAGTGTTTAACAGCCAAGTCTTTCTTCATATAAATAACTGAACTGTTAAAAAAAACCTTGATGCTACACCATTGGTCCCCAGCCAGTCTCCTTCACTAGGATCCAAATATCCAAAAATCAACTGAATAGTCAGCCACACTCCACACCCCCTGTTACACATTAAACATATTTTGAGCTGCTGTGTCTCAATTGGACTCTTTGACAAAAACACAAACTAGTAAACAAACTCTGCATCATTTCCATTTATCACAGCTTGTCCCTATTTTAAGACCCTGCCCCGAGGAAGTTTAACTAACCTTGACATGATCTGAAAAATATGTATGCAGAGTAGTTTGACATTGAGTTAAAAATAATCATGGACATACCATGAAAAGCTTCACGACAAGGACGTGTTCTTTCATGGAGATTGTGTTGAGTTTTGATTGTGGATCAAGAGTTGAAGTTACTGTGGAATGGGCTTTGGTTTTTAAGCATATAACTTTAATCTTAACTTCTGACATCAAGAGCCGGACACAGGGAGAAAGTGTTACAAGTTTTATCAACAGCAAATACTTAAGAGAATGGAGGCTTAGAGCGACAGGTGGTTAGCAGGCTGGTCTGGCATAGAAAAACACAGAGAGTTTAGTGAATCCACAGACAAGGTGAGCTGGGTTGCCTAAGAGAAATGTCCAGGGACCTAGAACTGTCTGCACGGAGGGAAACCGAACATGTAATTTGTAGGAGACCACAAAGGTGTTCCTGCAGACAGTGGGCAGCATGTGGTTTGGAGATGACTGCATGTCCTAAGAAACATAACATAACATGATAATTTTTTCATCTGGTTGGTTAGGGGCTGCAACACAAAAATTAACCACAACAATAAAGAAACACATTTTTGTCCTACTGAAAAAAATAAATGGAAAAATGCTACTGATGTCAACTCTGCACAGCAACACACCTGTAGGCACAAGGGAGGACAAGAAAGTTCAGGGAATATTGGATTTTTATTTACACTGTTAGCTCCAGTTTGGGGATAAGTTTCTTTGGACCCAAATAGAATGTTCACTTTTGACTGGGAACACAAAAGTTGTAACTTTATCTGACAGTATTTATGAGAGTTCAGAAAAAGAAGAATGACTTTCAAACCCTTGCTTAAATATCACTCTCTATCACCGGGTGTCTCAAGACAAAGACAGTGAGTGTTTTCACATTATGCAGTAGTGTAAATCATCTAATATGCTGTGTCTTTTGATATATATGCATATATATGTATTCATTGAACAAAAACATTCTGAGTAGTCATGAATTATCAATGAATGAGTGACTGGTTAGTACAAAATCACTATAAGATAAGATAAGATAAGATAATTCAATTCAATTCAATTCAATTTTATTTATATAGCGCCAAATCACAACATAAGTCGCCTCAAGGCGCTTCATAGATACAGAGAAAAAACCCAACAATCATATGACCCCCTATGAGCAAGCACTTTGGCAACAGTGGGAAGGAAAAACTCCCTTTTAACAGGAAGAAACCTCCGGCAGAACCAGGCTCAGGGAGGGGCGGCCATCTGCTGCGACCGGTTGGGGTGAGAGAAGGAAGACAGGATAAAAGACATGCTGTGGAAGAGAGACAGAGGTTAATAACAGATATGATTTAATGCAGAGAGGTCTGTTAATACATAGTGAGTGAGAAAGGTGACTGGAAAGGAAAAACTCAATGCATCATGGGAATCCCCCGGCAGCCTATGTCTATTGCAGCATAACTAAGGGAGGATTCAGGGTCACCTGGTCCAGCCCTAACTATATGCTTTAGCAAAAAGGAAAGTTTTAAGCCTAATCTTAAAAGTAGAGATAGTGTCTGTCTCCCGAATCCAAACTGGAAGCTGGTTCCATAGAAGAGGGGCCTGAAAACTGAAGGCTCTCCCTCCCATTCTACTTTTAAATACTCTAGGAACAACAAGTAGGCCTGCAGAGCAAGAGCGAAGTGCTCTAATAGGGTGATATGGTACTACAAGGTCATTGAGATAAGATGGGGCCTGATTATTTAAGACCTTGTATGTGAGGAGCAGGATTTTGAATTCAATTCTGGATTTAACAGGAAGCCAATGAAGGGAAGCCAAAACAGGAGAAATATGCTCTCTCTTTCTAGTCCCTGTCAGTACTCTTGCTGCAGCGTTTTGGATTAGCTGAAGGCTTTTCAGTGAGTTTTTTGGACATCCTGATAATAATGAATTACAGTAGTCCAGCCTGGAAGTAATAAATGCATGAACTAGTTTTTCAGCGTCACTCTGAGACAGGATATTTCTAATTTTAGAGATGTTGCGCAAATGGAAGAACGCAGTCTTACATATTTGTTTAATATGTGCATTGAAGGACATGTCCTGGTCAAAAATGACTCCAAGGTTCCTCACAGCGTTACTGGAGGCCAAGGTAATGCCATCCAGAGTAAGAATCTGGTTAGATACCATATTTCTAGGCTTTTCAGGGCCGAGTACAATAACCTCAGTTTTATCTGAATTAAGAAGCAGAAAGTTAGCGGCCATCCAGGTCTTTATGTCTTTAAGACATTCCTGCAGTTTAACTAATTGGTGTGTGTTATCTGGCTTCATGGACAGATAGAGCTGGGTGTCATCTGCATAGCAGTGAAAATGTATGCTATGTCTTCTAATGATACTGCCTAAGGGAAGCATGTATAATGTAAACAGAATTGGTCCTAGCACTGAACCCTGTGGAACTCCATAATTAACCTCAGTGTGTGAAGAGGACTCTCCATTTACATGCACAAACTGGAGTCTATTAGATAGATATGATACAAACCACTGCAGTGCAGTACCTGTAATACCTACAGCATGTTCTAATCGCTCTAATAGGATATTATGGTGACAGTATCGAATGCTGCACTAGGTCTAGCAGGACAAGCAAGAGATGACATGTAGAGATAAGATGATACCTTTACTAGTCCCACACGTGGGAAATTTGTTTTGTCATAGCAGGAAGTGGACAGTGCAAAGGTTATTAGCAAAAATTAGAATATAACTAGAAAAAGGTGCATTTCCTGCAGAAATGCAGTGTGAGTGCTGTATTTGAAAGACTACACTGAAGAGTGTCATGAAAGCAGATTACATGCAAGCAGGGAAGATGTGCAGCATCTGTCCCATGTAGTACTTGAACCCTTGCCATGGGATCTCACAGCAGCTGCGCATCCCACTGCGCCAAACCAGTTCCAGTACCAAACAGAGATATGATGAGAGCACTGTGCAGAAGAAGCTAATTTGTGCTGAAAAGAGGTGAAAAGGCTGAAAACTGTGCTGATAAGAGCAGAAGAGGATGAAAATTGTGCTAAGAAGA